GCTTGCTTAAAGTCAAGCAGTGATATGGAGCGAACCTGCATCAATTCCCATATTCTAACTGCATGACTTTCTTCCAACCTTGATGCAAACCCGTAGTATTGGACAAGCAAATGTTGATGTTTGCGTTTCACGACATGGGTTGCATTGTCACAGTTTGTATACTGGTACTTGTAGGTTGTTAGGTTGCAATTGCCTGCTTGAAGTATGGCAGTGAGATGGAGCGAACCTGCATCAATTCCCATATTCTAACTGCATGACTTTCTTCCAACCTTGATGCAAACCCGTAGTATTGGACAAGCAAATGTTGATGTTTGGGTTTAACCACATGGGTTGCATTGTCACAGTTTGTATACTGGTACTTGTAGGTTGTTAGGTTGCAATTGCCTGCTTGAAGTATAGCAGTGAGATGGAGCGAACCTGCATCAATTCCCATATTCTAACTGCATGACTTTCTTCCAACCTTGATGCAAACCCGTAGTATTGGATAAGCAATGTTGATATCTGGGTTGCTCCACATGGGTTGCGTTGGCACAGTTTCGCACAACTTGTATACTGGCAGGTTGTTTGGTTGAAATTGCCTGCTTAGAAACAAAGTTGTGAGATGGTGCGAACCTGCATTCATTCCCATATTCTAATTGCACGTTTTTCTCCCAACCTTCGTGCAAACCAGTGGTATTGAACAAATACGTGCTGATGTTTGGGTTGCACCACATGGGCACATGGGTTGCATTGTCTCAGTTTGTATACTGTGAGGTTGTTTGGTTGAAATTGCCTGCTTGAAGTATGGCAGTGAGATGGAGCGAACCTGCATCAATTCCCATATTCTAACTGCATGACTTTCTTCCAACCTTGATGCAAACCCGTAGTATTGGACAAGCAAATGCTGATGTTAGGGTTTCACCACATGGGTTGCATTGTCACAGTTTGTATACTGGTACTTGTAGGTTGTTAGGTTGCAATTGCTTGCTTAAAGTCAAGCAGTGATATGGAGCGAACCTGCATCAATTCCCATATTCTAACTGCATGACTTTCTTCCAACCTGGATGCAAACCTGTAGTATTGGACAAGCAAATGTTGATGTTTGGGTTTCACCACATGGGTTGCATTGTCACAGTTTGTATACTGGTACTTGTAGGTTGTTTGGTTGCAAATGCCTGCTTAAAGTATAGCAGTGAGATGGAGCGAACCTGCATCAATTCCCATTTTATAACTGCATGACTTTCTTCCAACCTTGATGCAAACCCGTAGTATTGGACAAGCAATGTTGATATTTGGGTTGCTCCACATGGGTTGCGTTGGCACAGTTTCGCACAACTTGTATACTGGCAGGTTGTTTGGTTGAAATTGCCTGCTTAGAAATAAAGTTGTGAGATGGTGCGAACCTGCATTCATTCCCATATTCTAACTGCATGTTTTTCTCCCAACCTTCGTGCAAACCAGTGGTATTGAACAAATACGTGCTGATGTTTGGGTTGCACCACATGGGTTGCATAGTCTCAGTTTGTATACTGTCAGGTTGTTTGGTTGCAATTGCCTGCTTGAAGTATAGCAGTGAGATGGAGCGAACCTGCATCAATTCCCATATTCTAACTGCATGACTTTCTTCCAACCTTGATGCAAACCCGTAGTATTGGATAAGCAATGTTGATATTTGGGTTGCTCCACATGGGTTGTGTTGGCAAAGTTTCGCACAACTTGTATACTGGCAGGTTGTTTGGTTGTAACTGCCCGCTTAAAAATAAAGCTGTGAGATGGTGCGAACCTGCATTCATTCCCATATTCTAATTGCACGTTTTTCTCCCAACCTTCGTGCAAACCAGTGGTATTGAACAAATACGTGCTGATGTTTGGGTTGCACCACATGGGTTTCATTGTCTCAGTTTGTATGCTGTCAGGTTGTTTGGTTGCAATTGGCTGCTTGAAGTATGGCATTGCAAGCTTAAAGTATAGCAGTGAGATGGAGCGAACCTGCATCAATTCCCATTTTATAACTGCATGACTTTCTTCCAACCTTGATGCAAACCCGTAGTATTGGACAAGCAATGTTGATATTTGGGTTGCTCCACATCGGTTGCGTTGGCACAGTTTCGCACAACTTGTATACTGGCAGGTTGTTTGGTTGAAACTGTTTGCTTAGAAATAAAGTTGTGAGATGGTGCGAACCTGCATTCATTCCCATATTCTAATTGCACGTTTTTCTCACCACCTTCGTGCAAACCAAGTGGTATTGAACAAATACGTGCGGATATTTGGGTTGCACCACATGGGCACATGGGTTGCATTGTCTCAGTTTGTATACTGTCAGGTTGTTTGGTTGCAATTGCCTGCTTGAAGTATGGCAGTGAGATGGAGCGAACCTGCATCAATTCCCATATTCTAACTGCATGACTTTCTTCCAACCTTGATGCAAACCCGTAGTATTGGACAGACTAGTGTGTATGTTTGGGTTGGGCCACATGGGTTGCATTGTCGCAATTTGATACAATTTGCATACTGGCAGGTTGTTTGGTTGTAACTGCCTGCTTAAAAATAAAGCTGTGAGATGGTGCGCACCTGCATTCATTCCCATATTCTAACTGCGTGAACTTCTTCCAACCTTCGTGCAAACCAGTACTATTAAACAAATACGTGTTGATGTTTGGGTTACACCGCATGGGTTGCATTGTCACAGTTTGAATAGCGGTAGGTTGTTTCGTTGTATCTGCCTGCTTGAAGTATAGCAGTGAAATGGTATGAACCTCCATTATTACCCGCATTCCACCTGCATGATTGTCTTCCCACCTTTTGCAAACTAATGGTATTGGACAAACTAGTGTGTATGTTTGGGTTGGACCACATGGGTTGCATTGTCGCAATTTGATACAATTTGCATACTGGCAGGTTGTTTGGTTGTAACTGCCTGCTTAAAAAAAAAAACTGTGAGATGGTGCGCATCTGCATTCATTCCCATATTCTAACTGCATGAATTTTCTTCCAACCTTCGTGCAAACCAGTGGTACTGAACAAATACGTGTTGATGTTTGGGTTACACCACATGGGTTGCATTGTCACAGTTTGAATAGCGGTAGGTTGTTTCGTTGTATCTGCCTGCTTGAAATATAGCAGTTAAATGGTATGAACCACATAATTACCCGCATTCCACCTGCATGATTGTCTTCCAACCTTTTGCAACCTAATGGTATTGGACAAACTAGTGTGTATGTTTGGGTTGGACCGCATGGGTTGGATTGTCACAACTTGATACAATTTGCATACTGGCAGGTTGTTTGGTTGTAACTGCCTGCTTAAAAAAAAAAACTGTGAGATGGTGCGCACCTGCATTCATTCCCATATTCTAACTGCATGAATTTTCTTCCAACCTTCGTGCAAACCAGTGGTACTGAACAAATACGTGTTGATGTTTGGGTTACACCACATGGGTTGCATTGTCACAGTTTGAATAGCGGTAGGTTGTTTCGTTGTATCTGCCTGCTTGAAGTATAGCAGTGAAATGGTATGAACCTCCATTATTACCCGCATTCCACCTGCATGATTGTCTTCCAACCTTTTGCAAACTAATGGCATTGGACAAACTAGTGTGTATGTTTGGGCTGGACCACATGGGTTGCATAGTTGCAATTTGATACAATTTGCATACTGGCAGGTTGCTTGGTTGTAACTGCCTGCTTTAAAAAAAAAAGCTGTGAGATGGTGCGCACCTGCATTACTTCCCATATTCTAAGTGCATGTTTTTTTCCAACCTTCGTGCAAACCAGTGGTATTGAACAAATACGTGTTGATGTTTGGGTTGCACCACATGGGTTGCATTGTCTCAGTTTGTATACTGTCAGGTTGTTTGGTTGCAATTGCCTGCTTGAAGTATGGCAGTGAGATGGTGCGAACTGCGAACCTGCATTCATTCCCATATTCTAACTGCATGACTTTCGTCCAACCTTCGTGCAAACCCGTGATATTGGACAAACTATTGTTCATATGTATCAGGTTACTCTGTGTGTGCGCGTTACCCGTATTGTACTGTGCGTTGCATCATGCGCACACACCCGAAAGTGCACACGTGTTGATGGATGGGTTGCATCCAAAGGTGTTTTTTCCTTCGGAAAATACATTTGTTATATATTGGTCGTTTATCATAATTGTTCATATAGTTGTTTATCTGCAAAGCATTGAGACTGATAGATGTTTCTTATGGTTAGTTTCTATATTCTATCTGCATCAATTTCTCCCAGCCACATTGCAAACTAGTGATATTGTACAAACTAACCTTCACATGCATGAGGTTTCTGACACATACCGGCCGATGCTAAAATGTTCATTCATTTTGTGTATAATCCTATACTGTACAATATATATATATACATACATATATATATATATGTTGCTTATTTATATTCTAACTATTGTTGTATTTTTGGAATTCTAACTGCATTTTCCCCGGGGACGAAATTGGTATGGATGCTATTATCTGGACGTCAATCCATATCCATGGATTCCTTTGGATCATATTCTAACTGCCGGTCGGCTATAGTACCTATGGGCCATTTGCAATAGCAAAGTGTAACAAAGTACCAGAGGGTACCCCAATTTCATGCCATTGTCCCACATGTTCCTGTATTTTCCCTTTGACATGTGCATTTTTTCAAACATTGCCCCTAGTAAATTTGCATGATTTTGCCATTTGAGGGTATGTTCATCCAGTTTCCGGCACAACCATGTTGATGGATGTCTTTGGTGGTGCATTAGTTGCACGTTTGACTTATGAGGACTTGAGAATGAGATGTATAATAACCTCGTACATAGTTAAGCAGAATGTCATCTTCTTTGGTTACCGTGTGAGTGTGTGTCGGTTTGAAATGTAAAACTCGGTGCCTATTTTGTCAACAAGCTTCAACAATTGGCAATTAGATGCAATCAGTAGCACATATCAGTTCGTATTAGTAGATGCCAACATGCCTGTATTTTTCAACACGAGTTGACTCAAGTTGGATCCTTCAAGTGACCAGGATGACCATCAATGAATTGGGAACTGCCAAGCAGATCTTTGAAGAGTCCGATGAGGAGCACAGTTTCCCGGCAGGGCCCACGGGGAATTAGCATCTGGCAGGCGAAGCTGGAAATCCCGTCTGAACATGGAACATCACTAGTTACCTAATATATCATAATATATATATATACAATCTAAATATCTATATATATATATATACCCCCACAGCAAGCTCTGCCGACGACTTGACCCTCCAAGGCTTGATCATCGTTCTCTTGGACAATTCGGTGCTTGGTCGTGTAGCCTTTGGATTTGAAGGAGTATCTTGCCAGCTCCAAGTCCCCAGGTCCAACTTGGTCATCTTGCTCCAGCTGGAATCTTGCTGAAGTTGGCCTGAGGCAATGGGATGTGACCTCGGCTCCAGCCCTGACTTCGTGATGTTGGCAAAGGCATATGGCGGTCAAGGTCGCATGGTGCGTGGCCCAGTGATCGCTCCAGATGTCACCGGAAAGCCCGGAAAGCCATCGGTTTTTCCCGTGATGGGTCAGTGATAAGATGGAAACATTTCTTGCAGATGTGCTTAGGTTGACGTGCGGTGAAACAAGCAATGGAAAACCCAAGAAAAACCGTGTCCAAAATCACATGATTAGAAAGGTGGAAAGCAGAGAGAAATTCCAAAAGAAATGCCAAAACACTAAGTTGGGAAAATAGCATGATAAATATTGATAGATCAATTCATATTTGGTTTCCCTACGTTTGTTCCACATTTGAGTGCTGCCATGTTTGATTCCACAACGGGTTAAACCCATGTCGCTGAGGTGTCCTCGTGCGACCAGCTGGAAGGCCTGGAATGGTCAGATAGACGGATAATGATATATAAGGATAGATAATGATATATATCTTAATATCCCTCATGTATGTATATATGCATGTGTTTTTTTATTGACATAGCATTAATCATATACCCTCCGGTTATTTAACATAGCCATGGAAAATGGCCCATTTATAGATGATTTCCCATTAAAACCTCCATTTATGAGGGATTTTCCATGGCTATGTTAAATAACCAGATGGTAATATGTTATTGACATATGGCAGCCTGCACATAATATGTATCTCATCCTACTGGCGACGCCGAGTCGCCGGACAGTCGCCGCAGGTGCCATGGATGAGGCCTTTAAGTCCAAGGGCATTTTTATGCTGCATGCGGGCTCCTCAGATCGCCGGTCGAAAGATGTACAAAAGGTGTAAAAAACATCACTTAAAAATAAACCATAGAATTCCATAGTAGTATCATCTGGATCTACCATATATTACTGAGATATTTACATCTATTTACTATTTACCATGATCTAGCCAAGTTTACCGTAAAAAGCATCCATCAAGTGGCCAGGTGATGGTGAAACCATCTCAGATCGCTTCCCAAGATGTGCGGTGCGACCCAGGTGAAAACAGATCCAGATCTCAAGGCCGACATGGCCACCTTCCAGGCGTGAAGACAGATTTGGATTTTTGGGATGATTTGGATCCGACTTGATGGTTTGTGGTTTTGGATCCAAGCCACATGATAGTTGACGGTGTACGGCTCAGATGATGATGTTTCAGGCAGTTTACTGCAGATTGGATCAGATTGGACTCATGCCTCAGGATACCTCCATCACCATGATGAACAGCGGCTAAGCCCAAGCCTTGGGCCAGCAAAGGTCAGCGAAGGCGCGCAAGACGGATGGTCAGTTCATTCAATGGACGGAAAAAAGTCTGTAACGGAGTTGCGGATCTGATTTTTCAATATGCTTGCCCTTTAATGATTGAACAATTGAAAGGTAAAGAGAGATACCAGTAGTACCGCGCAAGGCGGTGGCAGAAGTTTCAAAAATAGGAAACCTATAGGAGAGGTTGGTTGTTGTGAATCACGGATGGCAGAGCGAATCCACTGATGGACCGAAAGGTGGTTGGAGTTGTGTTTTTTGGAGTGGTTGCAATGGTTGCAGTGGTCACCTCACCCACAACCGCTGGATGAAGTGTGGTGTAGTGCAGTTGTAGTTGTAGTCTTAGTTGTTGTGTAGTGTAGTGGAGTTGTAGTTGTAATGTTGGTGATTAGTGTAGTTGCAGTTGCAGTTGTAGTTGTGGTGTGGTGTAATTAGTGTAGTGTACTGTAGTGCTGTGCACTGTAGTTTGGTATAGTGTAATGTAGTGTAGTGTAGTCTAGCGTAGTGTAGTGTAAGGTAGTGTAGTTGTAGTTGCAGTGTAGTGCAATTAGTGCAGCGTCGCGTAGCGCAATTTAGTGGTAGTTGCAATTGCATTAGCAGTTGTAGTTGTAGTGTAGTGTCATGTCATTAGCGTAGCGTTGTGTAATGTAATGTAGTTGCAGCCGGATTGGTATTTGCAGTTGTAGTGTGCTGCAGTGTAACCAGTGCAGTGTAGTGTAATGTGGTGTAGTTGTAATTGTAGTTGTAGCTGTGGTAGTAGTTGTTGTTGTTGTAGTGCAGTGTAATTAGTGTAGTGTAGTGTAATTAGATGTAATGGGTGTAGTGTAGTGTAGTGTATTAGTGTAGTATAATGTAGCATAGTTTCTTTGCATTTGTAGTTGTAGTAGTAGTGTAGTGTAGTTGTAGATGTTGTCTATTTATCTATCTGTCTGTCTATCTATCTATCTATCTATCTGTCTATCTATGTATCTATCTATCTATCTATCTATCTAGCTGTCTATCTATCTATCTATCTATCTGCAATCTGCAAGCTTGAAAACGAAGCTATTCTGCTAGACCCCCTCAGTTTTTGAACTTGACAACATCAAAAACGAAACAATTCTGCGAGACTTCCTTCAAAAATGGAAAGTTGAGTGCAGAGCTGACGGCCTCGTACCAATGCGTTTTGCGATTTTTCCACTCCACCTGTCTAAAGTACTGCGCCTGCCATGAAAAAGTGATGCCAGGTCATACGAAGTGCTGCACCTGTCACGCAAAATTGATGCTCCAAAATGCAACCCCTCTCAGGAAATCAGCGCCCGGACCTCCTTACATCTCTGATGAACATGTCTCTTGTACTGCGCCTGCCACGGAAAATGCATCTTTGCAGATCCTCTTCAAATGATTTCAAATGTCCCACGCCTGCCATCGTTTTTGGAAATGCCACAAAACCCTCACGTTTTGCTCATTTTTGACAAGGTGCACAAACCCTTGCGCCTGCCACGCAAAACGACATCTGAACGTCCAAAAGTGGTCCGAACATGTAGTGTTTTTAACATTTTGACCTCGAAATGTGCTTCGCGCCACAACGGCGTGCACTTTTTCGACATCTCAACTTCCAAATGTGGTCCGAGCATGGTGTGTTTTGTACATTTTGACTTCGAAATGTGCTTCGCGCCACAACGGCGTGCACTTTTTCGACATCGCAACTTCTAAAAGTGCTCCGAAGCTGAGGTGTTTTGGTACATTTGAAATGTGCTTCGCACCACAACGGTGTGCACTTTTTCGACATCGCAACTTCTAAAAGTGCTCCGAAGCTCAGGTGTTTTGTACGTTTTGACTTCGAAATGTGCTTCGCGCCACAACGGCGTGCATGAACAAAGTGGTAAACCCAATAATAGAGGTTTTCCATAGGGGTTTATTATCAGGACTACAAGGCTTTACCACATTACACTTGACCAACATTCCAACATCCCTTGGTTCTGCTTCCAAGATTTTGGTAACGCTCGTGAGGCTTCTTGACGTTTGGCGGTCGTAGCTCCCGAAAGGGTTCTGGTACAGATTCTTTTTCACGAGGCCGGGCTGAGCCATAGACCATGGCTTCGCAGAAGCAAATGCTCCAGACATATTTCCTGACTTCCAGTAAGCTGACATCGATATGGAACTTCACCATTTGTAGAGCATTCCCTCATGGATTTCCATAATTAGCAATTTTAGTTTACTGAAGGGTAATTTCATGTAATTTCATGTGTTTGTGCGTCGCGAAAGGCCGTCCATTCATGCTCATTATGATATGGCCAATGGCGGCATGCCAATCAGGAAAAACAATTGGAACTAGAACCCAACAATTTGTGCTGACAGTTTTGCCTGTGGATTCTTTTGAGGATTGGAGGATTTGCGTGATCCGAACCCGCTTTCTTCGAGGGTCGAAACCTTTCTGTATGTATGTCAACTGTCGTGGGCATCGGTTTAGTATTGTTTGGATTCGCAACACCAGGGGTTTCCAAATAGCATTATCCTGAGGAAAGATCATGAGAACATAGCAGAGTCGATGAACGACACTCGTGGTGTTCTTTTGCCTTGTGGACTTGTGCGGAATTTTGCTGCGATCGCCGCGTTCGCCGCCCCTTGTGCAGTCCTGAGCCTTGCGGCCCATAGTTTTAATGATTACGCATTGCGTAAGGAATCGTTTGTGCAAAGAATTTCGCGAGAAATAGTATATAATTAATTACCAAGAAGGTGGACATCGGCTTGATTCCTTTTTTGTTTGAGAGATGATCAAAGCAAGCACGTGCATCATCTGTTCTGGCATGTTCTGGCCAGCAACTTAAGAATTGAATGGGAGCAATGCTGCGTACTTTTACTTGCCTTCCAAATTGGAAACAACCATCCACAATTTTGCCTTGCAACTTCCCAAATGGATTGGTATATTGTTATTTCTTTGTGTGATGCACGTATTGAAGGTTCTCAAGTTTCAAACTTTCAGCCATTTAATTTCCATCCTCAAACACGTCTCGAAAAGGTCTCGAACAAGTCAGTTGCTGAGAAAGCGAATGTCCAGTGAGGCCAGGAACACACAAGAAAAACCCAGGATAGTTTTTTTGGGAAACGAAAACCCATGGTTTCCGAATTTCCGTTTTGAGGTTTTCCCTTCAACCACTCCATTGAACTTTGTAGCAGATTTATGTTAAGGTTTGTTGTCAAAATCGGAGTTCATTTACCCATAAAACTGCTCGCTAAACCACGGGGGGGACTTGCATCCGATCAGCACATAACAACTGCCGGATCTAGGGCTAGGACGTCGAGACTCAGCCCATACTGCGATTTCTGCACCTAACTATTACACAATCACTGAAAACCAAATCCCGCAATCGGGATTGCTATTTGATTATTTTTATTTGTCGAAGGAAGTTTAGAAGTGAAACTTCCGACAATATGGACAGCTGAAAAGCAGAGGTGAGAAGAGTCAGAAGAGAAAAGATCAGAAGAAAGAAGATGCAGATGCGCGAAAAGGTAGGAAAGTCGCGAAACACTGTGTTTTTCAAATGATTTGTGGCTCCGGAGGGTCGAAAAGTAGGCTCGCTAAAGCGGCGGGTGCGGAGCCAGCTGGCCACAGGAGCGATGAAAAATTGCACGCCGTTGTGGCGCGAAGCACATTTCCAAGTCAAAAGGTGGTCCGGACCACTTTTGGAAGTTGAGATGTCTTTGTTTTTCACAAAACACACCATGGTCGGACCACTTTTGGAAGTTGCGATGTCGAAAAAGTGCACGCCGTTGTGGCGCGAAGCACATTTCCAAGTCAAAAGGTACAAAACACCTCAGGTCCGGACCACTTTTGGAAGTTGAGATGTCGAAAAAGTGCACGCCGTTGTGGCGCGAAGCACATTTCCAAGTCAAAATGTACAAAACACCAGGGCTTCGGACCACTTTTGGAAGTTGAGATGTCGAAAAAGTGCACGCCGTTGTGGCGCGAAGCACATTTCCAAGTCAAAAGTGTTAAAAACTGACGGTCTCGGACCACTTTTGGAGGTTCAGATGTCGAAAACGTGTCGAAAAAGTGCACGCCGTTGTGGCGCGAAGCACATTTCGAAGTCAAAAGTGTAAAAAAACTGAGGGTTTTGAGCCTTTTTTGACGTGAAGATGTCAAAAAAGTAGACACTGATTAACTTAACTAACTTGACTAACTTAACTAACTTCACTAACTTAACTACCCTAACTTCGACGACAACAGCAACAGCAACAGCAACAACAACAACACCAACCACAACAACTACAACTACAACTACAACAACTACAACTACAACAACTACACAACAACTACAACTACAACTACAACTAGAACTAGAACTACAACTACAACAACTACAACAACAACAACAACAGCAACAACAACAACAACAACTACAACTACAACAACTACAACAACAACAACAACTACTACTACTACTACAACACTACACAACAACTACAACCACACAACAACTACAGCTACAATTACAATTACAACAACAACAACTACAACTACAACTACAACAACTACAACTACAACAACTACAACAACAACTACTACTACAACTACACTACACAACAACTACAACCACACAACAACTACAGCTACAACTACAACAACAACTACTACAACTACAACAACTACAACTACAACTACAAAACAACTACAGCTACAACTATATGACTGCAACTACACTACACTAATTACATTACACCACAACTACACCTCCACTACGCTACAACTACAACTACAGTTGCAGTACATCACACTACATCCAGCAGTTGTGGGTGAGGTGACCACTGCAACCATTGCAACCATTCCAGAAAACACAACTCCAACCACCTTTCGGTCAATCAGTGGATTCGCTCTGCCATCCGTGATTCACAACAACCAACGTCTCCTATAGGTTTCCTATTCTGAAACTTCCGCCACCGCCTTGTGCGGTACTACTGGTATATGACTGTGCGTATTATATTTAGTATATAGCTTAAATAAATATGTTTTATATTCTCTTGTCCGAAATAATCTTAGTGATCCATAGGCACTTCAAACAGGCAGGTGCCTCCATCACCGGAAACGGGCTAGACCCCATCACCTTCGTCAATCACCAAGCTTCCTTATCTACCTGGTTACATCTGATTACGAATCATTCCATCCCGTAAGATACAGGTCAGGGGGTTTATATTTGCCAATGATTAGTATTATCTTGCCCAGCTGGCTAATGTATTTGCAAGGCTTTGGAACGGACTAACAGGAACCGCGTAACGGAGCCAATCGACATATGCAAATTTAGCAATACGAAATATAATATGTTGGATTTAATTTTGGAAAGATAAAAAAGGTATACATAAAAGACCATAAAAGTATAAGAACAGAATAGAATAGAATAGAATAGTTATGTGTATAAATATATAATTATATATATACTGTATATGATCAATTTATGAACATAAATGCACCTACATTTTTTCAACAAATACATTTTCCGAGATTTAATTAGTTCAATACATTATGGTTTTTAACGCGTCTTTATTAATTAATTGTTATTTCATAAAAAGGAAAATGCGATAAAGCATATATGGTACTGAACATTAATCATTCAAAAACAAACAGTAGTAACAGAGGTATAACTTTTTACAAATGACAAGACCAACCAACAAACCCAAATGCAGTCATGTCAAACACTTTTGTGAAACAAGTTATTTCAACACTCTTGTACATTCTTTCCCTGTTACCGTAGCAGTGTAGACTGTGGAGTCTGGAATGGGCTGGAGTGCAGAGTGTGGAGTGTGAAGACAGTCGAGTGTTGAGTGTAGTGTAAAGTGGGGATTGTGGAGTGTAAAGTGCAAAGAGTACAGTGTGGACTGCACAGTGTAAAGTGTAAAGCGTAGAGTCCAAAGTGTGAAGTGCAGAGTCGAGTGTAAAGTGTGGAGTGCGAAGTGTAGGGATGCAGAGTGTAGAGGGTAAAGTGATGTAAAGTGTACAGTGTGAAATGTAGTGTAAAGTGTAAAGTGTGAAGTGTAGAGTGTGGCGTGTAAAGTCTGAAGCGTAGAGTGTGTAAAGTGTAACGTGTAGAGTGTGAAGTGTAAAGTGAAGACAAGAGTGTAGAGAGTGTAAAGTGCAGAGTGTGGAGTGTAAAGTGCAGAGTGTGGAGTGGAAGTATGGAGTGTTAAGTGTAGAGTGTAAAGTGTAATGTGTAGAATGTAGAGTGTGTGGAGTATAAAATGTAGAATGCGGCGTGTGAAGATTAGATTGTGGAGTGGAAAGTGTAAAGTGTAGAGTGTCGAATGTAAAATGCGGAGTGTAAAATATAAAATGTGGAATGTAAAATATAGAATATGGGATGTAAAAATACAAAATATAAAATATGGAATACGAAATATAAAA